CCTCAAAAAAACTTTACAACAATTATGTGGTTATTAGTTAAAGAGCTAGATGGAAGTATTCCTTTATCTATTCAGTATACCTAGAGATATAAAATAGCCTTGAATAATAAAAGATAATTATTGTACAATCTTGGTGATAGCGCAACTAAAATGCTAAATTTATAAAATATTGCAGTACCTGGTAAATGGTTTATGATTTTCCAAATGGTGCATACTGAGGCTTATTTTTCAAAGATAAATGTAGCTTATAAAGAGGCAAGAATCAATGGGCTTAGCAGTATTTCAAAAATAATAGCAAGACCATGGAATTATGAAGGAGATCCTAATGCCACTTTACTGCAATTCTAAATAACTGCTTACGCAAACTCAAAAATATTTATTAGAAATTTATAATACTGGAAAGCATCTCTATCATTTGATTTTTACATGACCAATAGATTATTTACAGCATTAGATCCTGTGAAGATGCAATCGAAAGGACTCATTGCTTACTTTAAAATGGATGAATCTGGTGGAAATTATGTGTACAATCATGCCTTACCCGAAAGCTTTTAGTCAGTTTCATAGTATCATTTCTAGCTAAATCAAAAGTGGTATTTTTATTCAGATTTAAATGCAGATCCATCCTCAAACAGTTAAGAAGACATGAAATTTCTTTTTTGCAAGGAACCATATTCGAAACTACTAGATAATCACTGTGATTACTTTGGCTCATGTCATTCAAGCACTCCTACAGATGATTGTTTAGGACCAGAATATTCAGATATTTCTACTTGTATCAATTTACCAGAATAGATTTATTCCCTAGATGACAAGGATTGCTATGATTGTCATCCTATTTGTTCAGGCTGCAATTTACCATTTTAAGCTGATGAATGTATAAGCTGCGTACCAGGCTACTCCAAAATTGATGGACTTTGCAAAAGTTAATGCCCCGATAATACTTTCAATGTTAAAGGATAATGTATTTGTAAGGTCATTGTTTTATTTATCATTTATTTTAGCATGTAATGATACTCTTTGCAGATGTTCAGAGGATTATCTAGATTCTTGTCTTGGATGTTTGAACAAATCTCATTATTTTCTAGAAGGCATTCAGAAGTGTGTTGAATATACACCTAATTTTAAGTTTTATGATAATATCACCTAGTAATTTTAAGACTGCCATCCTATGTGCAAAAGATGCTTCAAAGCTGACTAATACAGTTGTCTTGAATGTGCAGAGAATGCAACATTACTAGCACCTAATTATTGTAACCATTTTACATGCATGACTGGGACTGAAATAAAAGAGTTCTCAAGCGACAAAGCTGA